TGTTGTTAGTATATATACCTACGAGGGGTAAAGATATTTTTTGAGGGGGGGGGGGGGGGGGGAGACCACAATTTTCGGAAACATTTTGACATCAACTATTTACCCTACACTTTCTACAACTTTTTGGACTTGTGAAAGCCTCTTATATATTTGTTGGTGGAGAAATGTACAAACAGCCCATCGGGCTTTGACAATACCTTAGTATCTGTGTATATATGTAAGGTTTTTAAGAAATATATTTTTCAACCGGGCAAAGCCGGGTACTTCCGCTAGTTGACTATATATATTTTATTCTCCGCAGGGAATGGATTCTTTGCTCCGCTGCAAGTCTCCTACCACCACTCTCCCATTGACATATTTCGTTGCTTCCTCTTAGTACCTTTCACGCGACGGTCAATGGTATAGTGTATAGCAGATTGTATAATAATAAATAGTATAAAAGTGTAATGTTTAATACAATGTATAAGGTTATAGTATCGTAATTGTAAAGTGAATATACAGCAGGGTGGGTAGAATAATAGTGTAATATTACAATGTATAGTCTATAAGCATATTAGTCGCTGCAGCTCCATACTATTAACATTCCTTCCCTTTATTAATGCTAACCTTACTCCCTCCCTTTGATGCTGCTAATCCTGCATAATGCACGGGCATATTATGACTTTGAAACCCCCCGCCCACCTCCTACGCATTCCACAAGTAATGACTAATCCCATATCTGCATTTCCCATAAATATGCTAAATTCCTCTTGATATGCAAATTATTTTGTCAAGGCGCTCTTCCCCCTCCAACCCAGCTTAAATATACGCTCCAAGCCTGGTGGTGTTTCATTCAGACGCTGTCTTTCCGATAGACCTGTTCTTCACCTGAGGACGGCTGCTTGCGTTGTGGCCGAAACGTCGTGAGAATTATTTTATGTTTTATTTTTATTATTTCCCTTCTACGTGACTTTACCGAAAGAACCAAGAAGTTGACAATGATGTCGAACAAGTGGAGACTCTTTGACTTTTTGAAGCTATTAACATACATTTGTTATCATGTTACAGTGTATTATCCGTTATTTTTCCATTAAAAACGATGTTAGTACTCTTTGGTTCTTTCGGTAAAGTCACGTAGGTATACAATTAAATAAATCACGTTTCGGGCGCAACACAAGTGTTCGTCATCAGGTGGGGCAATCACAGCAAGAACCAATCGCTGAAGTGGGCAAAAGGAGTGCCGTGACAAGAGGCTATAGAGGTAAGAGATGGGGGGAGGAGCCAGGGAGAGATAAGAGGGTGGGGGTGTGGGGTAAGGGGAATGACGGACGCTTGTTGCGTCCGAAACGTCGTGATTTAATTTATACCTACGTGACTTTACCGAAAGAACTAAAGAGTATGGATCCCTGCAGTCACGAAAACCTCAAATCCCATATAAGTGTTAACAAAAAAATTGAAGCACCCTGTACATGGCTACGTACTGCCCAATGGTGGCCATATGCAGTATTACAAGTTATACATTACATTGTATGTTGAACTTCTTTCGCACCATAGACAGCCGAGCTAATTGGGAGATGCGGGGGAAGGACAACTTACACAAAAAACTGCTTTAAAGCAATGAGTTTTCAGTTTAGATTTAAAAGTGCATAGCTCCAGTGGCTTCCTAATATTGGAAGAGCATTCCTTACGGCCGCAGAAGCGAATCTGAAAGCGTGCGATGCGGTGACCATCTTTGTTCAATGGCTTGCAAAAGTTGGTGCGATGACCGGAGTTTGCATGATGGTTTTGTGACTCCGCTTGGTGGCCAGTACTACTCTTAAACCTAACCCATAATCCACACTTGTCTTCCCCAACACAACCGAACCCCCTAACCTTAAACCCAACCCTCTAAACCTAACCCCCAACTCAAACCTCAATATAAACGTGAATTATCCTGGCTAAGTCTCTATTGAAAAAAACGTCTTCGCTGAATGGGCTTTGCTGGGGAACTAAACTAATTCTGACTCCCCCATGCCTACCTTGAGGCGTTTGTGTTCAGCTCCCGGTGTGCACTGCGAATTTATGCCTATGAGAGCCTTTACACAAAGTCACCATTGGAATAGGATTTATCCTCACATGTACAGTTATTTTAGTAGTTGTAGATGTGCATTTACATAAAAGCGCAACTAGCCCCGTTTATTGTGTAGTAGAATCAGAATATTTATACGGAGGAATCCAATGCGCTATAAAGCTTTTTCAGAGATGTCCAGTACACATGTCCACCAGAGGGTGACTTGTAACCACAGAACAGCTCACTCTAACCCATACAGATCCAGACACAGACCCACAGATTAATGGAGACCCAGACTGAAACAGATCCAATATACTCATACAGAAACCCATAAACTTAGAAACTCAGATACTCAAGAGAGAACCACAGACTAGCACCCAAACCCATAAACTCAAGAGCTCCCGTTACATGTCGGTCCGTGGCCTTGTCTTGATCTGTGATGACGAGAAAAAAAGACAGGCCACTTGCCTCACATTTTAACTGATAGTTCAGCCGGCAGGACAGGCTGTCACTGAAAACATACCTTTATGACTATTCAGACAAACCATATTCTTCTAGTTTCATTTAATGTAGTTTCATAGCAATATTGAATATTTTATTTTTCAGACTTTTGTCAGGAATGTAGGGCAGTAAAATGGCATTCACAAGTTAACCAGACCTCTTAACATACGGCGGTGCTGGTACCGCATGTCCGCCAGAGGGCGACACTTCGTCATGTAACGAATCACTTGATGTTAATGCTCGTGCATAGTCGACAAAAAACACACATTCACCGATAATGGGGGAAAGTTTGGCAAGCACTCTCAGCTTAGAGGTGGACAAGAGGGATACTGGCCTGTAGCTGGAGGGCAATTATTGCGGCTTTCCAGGTTTTAGGATGGCCATGACTTTGGCTTCCATGCTTTTGGAACTTTGCCTGTCCTGTGTATGATGGTGAAGAGGTTTGCAAACCATTGCTATCCCAAGTCCCAGGTTCTTTTGGATTTCAGGACCCAAACCATCATATCCCAGAGCCTTGTTGGATGTTATGGCCCTGAGGCCTGCTTCCACTCATTGTGATAGTTGGCTGGATTTGTTGCTTGCAGTTGGCTGAAGGTGATGGGTGAGGTGTTTCCATACAGCTTGTTTGGCGAGCTTGTCCATCGATGCTTTTGAGCAGGACAGCATCTCGGAAGGCAGCATTCGCTGATCTTTTGCGATCTGTGCTGTTCGTTTTGAGGTACCTAGGTTCCAAAGGAGCTGCCAGGCTATACGGCTGGATTGAATTGTCAAAATCTGCAGTGACGCCTTCTCAACGTTTTCTTTTGGGAGTCTAAACTTCTTCATATTTCACCTCCACTCCTTGCCAGTTTGTGAGGCTTGAATTATTTTCGGTTTCTTTTTTCACGAGTTGAATCATCTTCACATTTTACCTCCACTCCTGGCTAGGTTGAGAAGCTGGAATGTTCTTCTGGCTCTTTTTTCACAACAGTCAAATCATCTTAACATTTCACCTCCACGCCTGGCCAGGTTATGAAGCTGGTAATTTCTTCTAGTTGTTTTACAAAAGATGAGGTCATTGCACAACCTTGACTTTTACATTTCGATTTCACCTTCCTCTCTTTGTGGATCTTCTGATGCTTGTTTCGGACCGATGACCATGCAAATGCCTCCCCACACACAGTGCACTTAAATGGCTTCTCACCTGTGTGTTTTCTGGTGCCTGTGAAGATTTTCTGACATTGTAAATGCCTTCCCACACTTGGTGCACTTGAAAGGTTTCACTCCTGTGTGTTGTCTCTGGTGATTGTGTAGAAGTGTTGACCGTGTATATGTCTTCCCACACAGAGTGCACTTGAATGGCTTCTCACCCGTGTACATTTTCTGCTGATTGTGAATATATGACTGTGTAAATGCCTCCCCATCCACAGTGCACTTCAATAACTTCTTGCCTGTGTGTTTTCTCGTGTCTGCGAAGATCTCCTGATCGTGTAAATGCCTTCCCACACACAGTGCACTCGAAGCGCTTCTCATCCGTGCGTGTACTCTGGTGTCTGTGAAGATGTGATAACCGTGCAAATTCCTTCCCACACACAGTGCACTTGAAGGGCTTCTCTCCTGTGTGTGTTCTCTGGTGATTGTGAAGAGCTGATGGCTGTGAAAATGCCTTCCCACACACAGTGCATTGAAATGGTTTCTCGCCCGTGTGTGTTCGCTGGTGATTCTTCATGTTGCCAGAGTGATCCGTGCTATATGAACACTGGCCGTTGCCGATCATTGCTACAACTCGGTGGGCTCTCATGAAATTGTCTTTTCCGAGACCAAGGTTCTCTGCAAACCTCCTGGCTACCATCAAAGGTTTGTACACGAAGCCATACAAATATAAAAACACAGACATAATTTAAACCGTGATGATGGGTACAAACTTAGTAATCATTGGAAAGATGTTATCAACCACGCAAAAAAGACTTAATTACACATTTTTGGACCATCTTATCTGACAGGCACTATTTTACTTTACTTTACCGAGTGTTAACATCCCCAGTGTTTAACAGTACTCTCTTCATTGTTCAGCCAGCACTGGTATAAACATGGGCATTTTCGTTATTTTCTATCATGTGTATCAACAGGTGCTTGTACACACACATGTCCACGTACACTTGCACCACACTCTCTTTTGGCCTCCCCTCCCCCTCTCTGTCCAATGCGTTGGCGTGTGCAGCAGTAGTTGCTTGCGCACAACCATGTCAACGCCGCCGACTTGTACCACGTCGTGCATTCTTTTGGCCCCGCCCCCTCCCGATGCGTTCTACGTGGCACGTCGTGCCGTCTTTGAGCCCCGCCCCCCTCCCTCCCGATACGTTCCATTCATTGGCTACCACATTCTGATAAGCTCCCTCCCCCTCTCCTTCCCCCTCAACTTGCTTTTAAGGGATTACATCTTGAATCATTGCCTCACTTGATGCAGCAAATCTGGCTGTGACGGTCCCACCTGATGACGGAGACTTGTGTTGCCTCTGAAACGTCGTGATTTTTATTTTATTTTACTTTCATTAATTTTAATGTTTTACCTACGTGACTTTACCGAAATAACCTAAGAATATGAATCCTTGCAGTCACGAAAGCTTCAAATCTAGAATTTGTGTCTCTTAGTGCCGGATTGCGCCGGGTGTCTCTGCTCCATGTCATTGATCCTGCAGAGCAGAGGCACTGGTAGCTGCAGACAGAAAACAGCAATATCCACTCAACCTCCATCAACATAAGGCACAGACATGCACGGGTATGCACACATATATGAACAAAGATTCTCCAAATAGCCTGTAAGATACTGTTATGGCAAGTTTTTTAGCAAGCACCTATGAAGGCCGGAATGGCGCACAAGGGAGTGGGTGGTCAGCACCACGCCCGGCTACCTTTGTCTCCCAGTGCTGATGTTTACACACTGCACCAGCTACACATTTAAGGGTGAGTCGACCTAGGGGAGGCTCTGGATCAGTTCAGATATTCGTCAGAGTTGGTCATGAGCAGGAACCGAACATGGGTGGCCAGGATTATAGAGCAGCGCGCAATCCATTACACTTTTTGTTGTCCTTCCACCGCACCTCCGATTAACATGGTTGGCTACATACGGTGTGAAAGAAGTTCAACATACACGACTGCTCTCCAAAGTATACTCATACAGACGCACGTAAACATACGCACGTAAACATACGCACGTAAACATTCGCACAAAAACACAAAATATCCCCTAATAAGTTACATCGGCTTTTAGGCCAAGTGCTGCAATTATTTCGCACTAATGGGAATCGGCACAACATATAATGGCAGTGTGTTCTGCACTTTGCAAATACAGGAATACCCCGATTATTATTTTCTATCTTTTACATCATTTCGCAAAATACGTCGTCAATGTATTAATACCACTACCTCATTTGCATTGCCTCAACCAACACTTACGTTGCTGACAGCATCTGTCCTTTCTCATCTTCGTCCCTCAGCCTTCGCCTCTACCTATCCTGTAAATTACTTTGATTTACGTTTTTTCGATATTCGTCGCACATTTCCGGAACGCATCCCAGAAGTAAACCGAGGTATTTCTGTACACAGCACATTCATACACAACAAAGAATTTACACTCTCACCAACTATGCAATCACACACAACACAGTTTACTCCCACATAGTATACTAACAGACACGATACACACACTGCACTCACACAATTTATTCTGCCCATATTTTATTATTGTGATACCATCTACCACCTAGCGTGTGAATCTAGAACTCATCATTGCAACATGTACATTAACTCAAATCTGTCCATCCTGGACATCCAGAGACACCATGACTAATCTTCCAATAACCTAAATTAATAGTTCCTCTAACTCTATTCCCGATACTCTTATGTTTTTTCGGTACTCTTAGGTTTTTTCGGTGGCTTTACCGAAAAAACCTAAGAGTATGAATCCTTGCAGTAACGAAAGCTTCAAATCTAGAATCTATCCCCGATATTCAGAAATGCCTTCTATCGACTAGAAATTGCACATGCTAAAACTTTAGTAATAAAAAAATGTTTTGGCGTTGTTGCTCCTCATTCCTGGAATACCCTTGCTGCTCATCCATAGCTTGGTTCCCTCCTTTCACACTCCCTCTTTATGTCCCTTTTTACACACTTTTATTTAACTGTCTGTTGTTGTTGTCGTTGTTGTATCCTCAAATCTTGTAACCCACTTCCCAATGTGGTATCGACTGCAAACTTGGTATACTTATGTCAGACTGATGCCAATACTATATTCTATCATAAAAATATATTTTAAAACATTATTTTTTATATGTTACTAGCTTTACTACCTGGCTTCACCCGGGACTTGGATTCACCACGCCCGGCCGCCTTTGTCTCCCCAGTGGCGATGTTCACACACCACACCAGTTACTTGTTTGAGGCCGAGTCGACCTAGGGGAGGCCCAGGACCGGTTCAAATAATCGTCACCGGTGGTGGCCGTGAGCGGGAATCGAACTCGGGTCGCCAGGTTCGTAACGCAGCGTAGCGCTAACCACGACACTACAATGCGTTACGCTTCCACACGCGCGGGTCACATGACAGATGTGACGTCACAGCTCACTTCCGTGCAAAATAATTTTCATTATTGAGCCCCCCCCCCCCCTAAAAAAAATACAAAAGCCTGTCGGGAAGTACGCTAAATATTTTGAACAGACACACATAATCACAACTTTGCCTTTTATATATATATGGAGATGGAGATAAAGAGATGTTCGGCTTGGCTCTCATTGTCCACGCTCAACTCACGTTGGATGTAAATCACCACGGTCCCTTACGCTGTGGCAAGCCTCGGGGCCACTTCCTGGAGTCGTCGAGTTCTTCCATTACTCGTACATTTCATGAAAGCGTGTTTTTAAAAAGTTTTTTTTTTATATTACTTATTCTAGCTTCCCTTCCTCTAATATAGTTGCAGTTTTATTTGCGTGTATCGTTTACGACCGTTAAATACCTCGTGTGATAGTTGTGCAACATCCCTCGGACCCTGTACTTGTTCTCTGCAATATTGATGTTTTTAAATCCTTTATATTAAGTTTGCTTGCTTGCTTAGGACCGTGCAAATCTTTCGGTCGTTTTTTAACCCACTTCCCGTGATCTAATCGAGCTGACATTTTGCACACAGACTCGTTGTGCGTGACAATGCATTTTCTTGAAAAAAATCCTAAATTTTACACTGTTTAGGGAAAAATAAATAAATATTCAATTACCGCTTGTTTAATGCTGCCAATCATCTGACCCATAGTTGGCAGCCATCTCAAGCCAGAGGACGAGAGGACTCTTGCCGCCCCGATGCCACGCATATAAAGGATTTATAGTGAAAAACTTTGTTTTTACGGGTTTACTTGTTTGTATTGTTTAGACGTCGCTGTGCTAAATGGGATAATCCGTGTAACAATTAAACGCACACCTATGGAAACCTATACGTGCAAACTTACACAGAAAAATTAACCCATAAAAACAAAAGTTTTTCACTATAAATCCTTTATATGCGTGGCATCGGTTTTATTTTATTATTCATTTCTGTTTTTCTTGAGTAAGAGTTTCATTTTTATCACATTGGTATTTTAAATTAAATATTAAATTTTCTTTTTCCTAAAAAGTGGAAAATTTAGAAAAAATTTTTTCACGAAAATAAATTGTCACGCACAACGATTCTGTGTGCAAAATGTCAGCTCGATTGGATCACGGGAAGTGGGTTAAAAAACGACCGAAAGATTTGCACGGTCGTAAGCGCGCAAGCAAGCAAGTGACCTTAATATAAAGGATTTAAAAAAGACAACCACCAACTCATTGTCCCATCCACTCAACTCACCACCCCACTCTCTCACCCAGCCACAACACTCGGCAGCGGGTAGACCATTACGATGTTCGCCATGTAATCCATGCAGTGTTAAGTATCTGTATGTATACTATTCAAGTCAAATACACTTATTTAGACTATACATCCTAAATGTATATACTTGTCTGGGCAATTCTAATCGCATATATACACTACGCCACGTACCTATCTAAACTATGCTGATCCGCACTACGGATGTCATATATATCAAAGCGGAAGTCTAATCACTACTTATTTACGTATTAAAAATACACCTTTTTGTATTATAAAAAATAACCGGTACATCACGAAGTCGAACCGCGATCGGCTGCGGGCTCGGGCTCCGCGGCCGAATGATTTTTTGTGGAAAGGCCGAGGCTTGGGCCTAGCCGCTCGCTCTCCCCGATCTCGAAGATAGGAAACCCGGCGCAAGTCGTGACAAGCGGTCATTGCGGCGATACGGGAAATTCTGCGGTCATATATATTGAAAAATTGGCGCAGAGGCAAAAGTTCCGCGACAAGAAAACACTCACATCACAGACACCAGTCAAGAACGGATTCCAACACGACTGATAATGATCGTAGATCGATTCTACTCGTCTGAATCGCGAACCTACGGATCGGATCGTTTCTTATACTGTACCAGAATCTGTATTGCGACGTGCGGATTGGATCGATTCCACATTCAAAAGTCGGCGAATCGCTGCTGGCAACATGGAATTTTCATACAGAAATTAATAAGCTGAATAAAATACGTTTCTTAAACTCGCATATAATTAAACGTGTCAGAAATATACACATGGTTTATTTTCCATTTATTTTGGTTGTAAGGGGCGAGCGAGGATTTGATAGAATATAGAGTGGATGTGCAGATGACGTCCCTAAACAGCAGTCAAGGAGGACCGGGAAGGAAAAATAAATTTAGCATTTAACTAAGGTGGTGGTGCAAAAGACTTGAATTGAATAGTTATCTCTGATCGTGACACCTCACTGAAAGAACCATGAATATGGAGGTCTTTAGTCTGTGGTTCTGATTTAGTTTCACATTGCCTACGTCCACATGCTACGTCCAAACAGCAGTGCAGCGGAAATGGAGGTGTACATCTCCCCCTTATTTATTCTCAGCAGAACATGTCAATTCGTTACACGTACAGCACACCGGTGTGTTGGAGAGCCAAGCCAAATGTGGCTGTCGCCTGATAAAGCTAGTTGTAATTACTGGTGAAACGTCGTACTCAGATTGTAAATGTTGTGGCTTGGCTCTCCAACACACCGGTTAGTGCTGCACTAGTGACGAATTGGCCACGTTCTGTTTAAGTGACAAACCTTACTAGTTGGCTGTGTCGGGTGGTGGCGGGTTTAACGACACATTTAAATATTTACGCCAACCCCAAAAAACCTGTATTATACAGTGGTTTACTAAATGATCTAAAGTTTGGAATACTGAACCCTTAGAATTCAAAATATTACTAAATTCTGGCAATCACTTTGTCCCCCAATGCAGCATAGGAGGGCACGAATGGAGCTTTTCATGTAGGATTTTAACCGTGAAATTTCACTTCCTTTTCATCGTAATAGTGAAATCCACTACACCGGCGTCGTGGCTCTGTAGAAACAATGAGTCCGAGTCCATCTTCTCGTCGACAGCAGTACCAGCCACCTTACCGGTGGTGTGAGTGGGGCGGCGGGAGGCACACGATGCTCTCCTTGCCGTCCAGCATGGCCTCCAGCCTCGCCCGCCAACACCCGTGCTGCTGCCTCAGCGAGGCACGCAGGCGGGCGAGATGCCCGCCCAGCTCACGCGTTGCCTCCCACAGCGCCAACTCTGGCGTCCCCACCGCGCCGCTTTCTCTCTCCTGCTGGTGCCCGCCCCGGTGCTGCCTCTGCTGCTGCTTCAGATGTAGGTGGAAGGGCAGGTGCAGAAGCAGCAAGGTGGCAGCGAGCCGCTGGGCTGGAGCCTGCAGAGATCGCACCACCATGCTCGCCTCCTGCTGTGCTGACTCGGCGAGATCTCGCACAGCTGATGGTGCAGAGCCGCACTGCAGCAGTCGCCGCTCCTGCGGGTGAAGTAGTTATGCCAATAACAGATGCAGAGCGGAACAGAACGAGTAAACAGGCAGCACGATATTATGGGAAACTCCGTAATATCATGTAAAAACATATACAGATGGATATGACACTCCTTGTGAGTAGGACCAGGTGTGTTTATATCTGAAGTGTGCTTTTATGACAATATATAGTGCCATTCATGGAAATTGCATCTCAAATCATATACAATTTGTTGCTCAGATTTTCCTATATTCATGATTAATCCACGAAATCGGTAACGCATCGCTGGTGTAATGTATGTATGGTCGTGTGAGATCCCGGACATTCCTTACTAATCCCTGGGATTCCCGTAATGTCATTTTTCACAATACGCTAGTTACAATATAAATTTTCATGATAAAACGATAATCGGGATATCAGTTTCCCTCAACTCTGCAACTGTATTTAACATGTGTACTATAAATTTTGTGTTTTGCAGTACTTGAGAATAAAAAGTATCAGTAGAAATTAAAATTACTAATAGTTAAATGCTGTTCAATCAACAAGCCTGCCATAATTATAATTATTGTAATCACTGCAACTTTACAATCTACACATACTCCAAAGTTAAACAATAGTGAATTAATTATTTGTATAAAATGCAAGAATTACAACATTACATAATTGCCATGCTGATAAAAACAAGTGTTAACTGTTATCTATTACTACTTTGATAGTGCTGTTTGTTGCTAGCCACTTAATGATTTGGCTATTTTGCCATGTGCTCAGAAACTGCATTTAAAATAAAATATTCAAAAATACTTTTTTTAAACACGCTTTAATGAAATGTACCGTACTCGTAATGGCAGAACTCCACGACTCCAGGAAGTGGCCCCGCAGCTTGCCACAGCATAAGGGACCGTGGTGATTTAGAGGCAATGTGAGTTGAGCGTGGACAATTAGAGCCGTAAAAAAGATTGTTTAAAAATATTTTTTTTATTTTAAATGATAGAATATAGTATTGTCATCAGTATGACATACCTATACCAAGTTTTCAGTCGATACGACATTGGGAAGACGGTTGAAATAGAGTTACAAGATTTTAGGATATGACAACAGACAGTGAGTTAAATAAAAGCGTGTTAAATGTTTAAAAATATATATTTAAAATTTGTAATGATAGAATATAGTATTGTCATCAGTATGACATAGCTATACCAAGTTTGCAGTCAATACGGCATTAAGAAGACGGTTGAAATTGAGTTACAAGATTTGAGGATACGACAACAGACAGAGTTAAATAAAAGCGTGTAAAATGTTTAAACATATTTATTTTTTATGATAGAATATAGTCTTCTCATCAGTATGACATAAGTATACCAAGTTTGCAGTCGATAGCACATTGGGAAGTGGGTAAAAATTGAGTTACAATATTTTTTAAGGATACGACAACAGACGGAGCGAGTTAAATAAAAGCGTGTAATAAAAAGAAAACTATTTTTCAAAGCACGAGTTTAAATGGAACTATTTATTTAGAGATCTAATTATCATTTAATATTTTGTCAAGAAATAAGATTGTATAAAAATAAAATGACCCATGATGGTCACGATGCGACATTCAGTAAAACGGACGATACGCAGATTATAGTGGATCTTGTATCATATGGTGTATCGTGTTGTCACATTCCGGCGACCCTACTAACCCCTAACTCCATTATGTAAGACCATGACAGTGCCGTGGGGTCGTGCCGCACCTCACTGAGCCATGTAGCGTGACTGCGCCACAGCGCGCAGTGCACGTCCCTTTCAATCCTCGCGAGACTCTTGCCCACCGAGCCGAGCCGAGAATCGAGGGACATGTCCTGCACCCCCTCCGTCCCCCGGTGACATGGCATAGCTAAGCTGGGGCAACGACCCCGATGCTCTTGCTGAATCAGCTTCACTTCCACAACACTCTCCTAGAAACCAGCACAGCACAGCAACCATTATAGATGGTATGTGGTAATTTTCGTTCTCTCCAAAATTCCGTGAATCCGTACAACTCTTTTATAAAACTATTTTTGTTTACCATTCACTCTTTTTCAGAAGCTACCTGGACACAAATTATAGCTCAACGAAGTGGCTTATGTCATTCAAGGTCAACATTTGATTCTTGCATCTTGTCTTTCTTAAATGTGATTAGACAAAAAATGGTTGTGCTGAGTAGGACGTGTGCACAGTGTGTGGGCCGATCGCAGAGACAGGCATTGGAGTTGTCTCCACAAGTCCTGCGACCAAGAGGGAGACCTAAGAGCAGATGGTGGAAATAGACAATTAGGGCACACATATGAGTGTTTGTGTAAGTCTATGGGCCTCTGTTAGTCTATGTAAGTCTAAGGCCCTATAATAGGTGACTGTTAGGGAAGATTTTGGAGGTCATGTGTCTACTGTGCAGCAGCTGCGGGATCTGGCAAAAGGCAGAAAGTTTTGGTGAAGTCTGGTGGCATCAACAGCTTTGGCCACGATGACATTTATAGAGTCTTTTAACACCTATATATGATATTTAATTTGTAATGTGTGTTCCTTTAAAATGAACTGTTATGTTCATTTATCAATCTGCTTTGTCTGTCATGTTTGTTACATTAGCCGAAAAGTCCACAAATGCATATTACTAAAAAATGTTAGAGCCTCTTATCAGTCCACTGCTCAATAAAGGTCTCCCCATGCCGTTTCAGTCATGATTGTTTAGCCATACTACACGATGCTGGTTAGTGTGGGTTGGTGAAGGGGAACACCAGCACCAGTTAAGATATCACCACTGATGTAGCCATAATTGAAATAGAACTCAGGTCACACAGGACACTCTACACAAGGCTTCTAGGCGCTCACTCAGAAAACATCTTGTGCCCTGATGTGTCACTACAGCTGGTGTCATGCTCACCATCCACTGCCAGAAAGCAGGCTCCATATTCCTCCACTCAATGAAGGCCTCCAGTCTGGCATTTTCCTCTCCAAGCTGCTGTAGGACCTGGGAAATGAGACACTGTCCCATAAACCACTCCCTCCGTCAATGACCATAGAGATTACACCTGCACATAGCAGAAACCAGGCAAGGTCAGGGAGTTGGTGGTGAAAAGGTGATGAGTTACAATTGTTTCTTTAAACAAAGTTTAATGGTAAGTTTTTTACATCTCATATTTATTGTCCTGTGTCTGCGATTCATTTCCCTGTGTTAGATTCCTAGTTATGGGTCCCTGGTTGCAAAGCCCTGGTTCCAGGCTTGACCGTACCCATATGAGTCAATGTCAGACTTGTGCAAGTCTGTGAGCCTGTGTGAGATTGTGTGGGCCTGTATCAGTCTGTGTAAATCTGTGAGAGCCAGTATGAGCCTGTGTGAATCCATGCAAGACAGGCCATACCTGTGTAAATCTGTGTGCTTGTAAACCTGTGCGAGTCCACGTGACTGGTCTCACCTGCGTCAGTCTATTCGGGTGTCTCAGCAGGTATGCCTCGGTGCCGGAGAGGTGTTTGCCAGGTTGGTGTGGCTGCCTGCATGTGGAGTGTACACGGTGCAGCAGGGTGCAGAGCTGCTGGCGCGCACTGTGCAGTGCCCGCACTCGCATACGCAGCTTCCCCATGAGCCACAGTGCGTAGTGCACGCCATCCTTGGGCAAGGGGGCGCCATCAACGGGGCGCAGGTGCCACTGCTCCTCACCAGGCAGCTCACCGTTTGCGAGCTCCTGTTTGAGAGGCAGTGAGAAGCATTCCCCCAGTCAGAGCCTCAAGAAAGCACCGCTCTAGTTAACGTGAAAGTAGTTAAAGCAGAACACGTTAAGAAAGCTCGAAAATTCACTGGACAGCAGTCAGTATGATTTTATTCTTGCATTCGGCAAAATTTTCAGCAGCTAAATGCCGACGTCTGCTAGCCACGACGGGACTTTGAGAGTTTGTCCATTTTGCTATTCCTACGTTGATGGAGCGCGAACTACTATCATGATTACTGTTTTTCTGTGGACATCAATCCTTGATTCCTCCACCAAAGTTAATAACTCGGTCTATTAGACTCTTTAATCTCATCCACACTGTGCTCAACCTCAAACTGCGTTCCTTATATAGAGGCGTAGATGTATTGACCACGCTTCTGCGCTCTTGCACAATGTGGGGGGGGGGGGGGATTACTGAGGCAACGTAATGATGCAACGACATGTAACCACACCAATAAACAGTTAGACTTCTCCACAAATTTGCCTGTCGCCTGATGAAGCTAGTTGTAGTAATAGGTTTTTACCCTTTCAACTGGTACAAAAACTGACACCTTTATACAAGGCATCGTGTTTGCAATAACCACAACACAAGCAGTCAAAATGCAAACAAAAAGAAACAACTCTGAAGATGATAATGATATGCACTGCCCTTGAAGTTGATTGGTCCACACCCGAAGACAGCTTTTCTTAGAGCCTAGTCTCCATTGGTGTTGGACCAGATGACGCCAAAAGGCGTACAACTCAAAGACAGCGCACTATCAGAGTATTGAGAGCTCGGGGTAAGCATTTACACTATAAGACCTCCTTTACCAGTGGCAAAATATAGTAATTGGTTTTTACTCTTTCAACTGGTACAATTGCAAACATGATGCCTTGCATAAAGGTGTCAGTTTTTGTACCAGTTGAAAGGGTAAAAACCTATTACTATATTTTGTCACTGGTAAAGGTCTCATTGTGAAGCTAGTTGTAATTACTGATGAAACGTCGTACTCAGATTGTAAATGCTGTGGCTTGGCTCTCCAACACACAGGTGTGCTGTACTAGTGACGAGTTGGCATGTTCTGTTTACGTGACAACCCTTACTAGTTGGCTGTGTCGGGTGGTGACGGGTTTTAATGACACATTTATATATTTACGCGATCTAACCCAAAAACCTCTATTATGGAGATGGTTCGAATAAACCTTTGACGTCATGTATTTACTGTAATAGCCGAGTGAGATAGCAGAAGAAAGCAATGGTGCTGTGCAATATTTGCTGACAACTCTAGACCTTGAATATAACACAATGAGGAAATGTATGATTATGAATTATTTGTATGGCCTAAGTGACATTTTCACACTTAGAGGATGTATCTAATGATGAGCATAAAGGTATGTTATGCACTCACAGGAAACAATTTCATGGCACCATCGTCAAGTTGCAGAGCACCCTGGGTCAGGTGGCGAACCGGGAAGTGGGTGGTGTGAAGAAGCCATGAGAATGCGAGGAGCAGCTCCAGAGAACCCAGCTGCTGGGCTCCCCCCGGCTGGAAGATCTCAGGGGCCACGTAACCATGATGCAGCAGCCCAGCCTTCACAGTGGAGATGACATCTACGCATAGAGGGAAACCATGCCAGGCACCAGTCTGTTGTCTAGAGGCCCCATCAGAGGCTGGTCTGTCAGTCTATTATGCAGACAGACCAGATCGTATTAACATATCATTCCTGACAAACATTTCCCAGTAGGATTGGTTTAAACAAGAAATACTTTGAGTTTTAACTTTACTGAGCCTCATTGCCCAAATGCCCTTTCGCGGTATGGATCACCCTGAATGCACCCGGCCTCTTCCACTTAAAAAATATAATCAGGGTAATACTTGGTTCCTATTGGAGAGACTGTCTAGGAACACCAAGTGTAGTTCGTATGGGCTGCAATGCGGCAAGATGTGAGTACAATGGATTCTAGAATCCATCGGCATGGTGCTTTTGTAGGGAGTAATTTTAATTTGTTGTATTATAGACATTGTGCATCACACCAAGGATTCATTTTTAAATGTATGCCATTGGGACACATTTATCTGGAATTACATGTCTATTTTTTCACAAAAAATGTGTTTGCCTCACATCCTTTTGCAGGAAACCCCAGTCATATGACTATGTGATGCTTTTCTATATTTAAAAAAACTGGAATTTATTGTATTTAGTTCCATTAAGTAAATGTATACATAATTTCACTCATTCCAGTCTGTCCTCTGCTCTCGACTTGGCTTCAAATCTAAACTCCCTGCATCCCCACATGACCCAAGTCTCTCAAGTCTCCTATGTCCCCATGCCCGTGTCCCCGTACCATCAGGTGTCTTTCGGTCCAGAGCTGTCACTTCCACATTCCCCTTCTCCTCCACCACCGGAGCAGCAGCAGCAGCATCTCCCGTGGTGCACACAAGCACCCGGGACAGGAGAAACCAGAATACAGGTACCTGCTCCCAGCATGAGTAGTGACACGTGCAAGTCACACATTCACCACCATGACTATAGTGAACACCACCACAGTTATTGTAAAACAGACTATGATGGTTATTGTAAAAATGGCCATGATGGTTACTGTAAAATAGACGACGATTGTTGTTGTAAAACAGGGAATAAGGATTATTGTTAAAACTGGTGTTATTTTGCAACAACAAAAACTAGAAAATGGTGGTTAATGTCCAAGAGATGATTATTACAAAAAAAGTTATCATTGTAAAATAGGTGATGGTTATTGTAAAACAAAGTGAGGAGGAGAGGGACGTACACTCTCTGGTCGGTCGTACTTGGCTTGCCGAAATTGTTCTGGGCTGACCGTGCCAAGCCCGAGGCTGGAGAGCAGCCGGCACAGGGCCTGAATTGCATCCTTTGGCCTCGGTGCTGCACGGCTCATAATGTCCTCCACAGGAAGCGAGACACAGCCCTGTGACACCTACCCAGAACCACGCAGTCGCATTCAGATTAGCTGCTGTTCTCAAATCAGAATTTTTCATTCTACACAAAAATATTAACCATAATTTAAGTTTTTTGGTTAGATTACGTAAATGTAGTGTTGTAAATGACGGACGAATAAACTCCTTCCTTAAGGCACACACTGTTTTTTGTTTCCTTAACATAGTCCCTTACCCGTTACCCTGAGGAGGTACAGCCTCCGGACTTAGCAAAGCTTAACACTCAAGTCTATCTCCTATCCCAAGGAGGTACAGCCTCCGGACTTTGGCAGGAGCTATCTCAATCTCCCTGCTAACCTAGCTTCCTCCGGCTGGGACCTAGGGGAGGCTCACTGACCCACCGCTGGCCCGGTGGGTCCCCGACCTCTGGTCGCTCAGGACCTTCGCCCTTACAAGGGCGGGAAGGGTGGGAGCCAGGGTCCTGCCTATCCAAGACCTATTCTCCCTTGACCACTGGTTACACAGAGCCTCAGCCCTTACAAGGGCTGGAAGGCTTGGTCCAGGGTCCTAGCTGTCTTCAGCCAGCTTGAGTCTTCGTGTAGGCAGAACTGCCCAGAGCTCTCAGCGCTCTGGCCTTTATACTGGTTCGTGGCTGGGCTCGTCCAATCCCAGGCCATTTTGTGGAACCTTCTGATTGGTCCTTCCCAATCTGGCGTTTGGATCCTACATTACCTCATTTGACCCTGACCGTTTACCGAGCGGGAAAATTGTGTTTTCGATCCGCTCTCTCGCAGATCGCCGAACAGCGAGTAGTTATTACCACTACATAAATATAAATGTGTCGTTAAACCCGCCACCAGCCAACACAGCCAATTAGGTTTGGCACGTAAACAAAGCATTCCAATTCGTTACTAGTTCGGCACACCCGGTGTGTTGGAGAGTAAAACCACAACAATTCCGAGTTTGACGTTTCACTGGTAATTACAACCAGCATCATCAGGCGACAACCAGTTGTGGAAAAATCCTGTTTTGGTTTAAAATAGAGGGATAAATGTGATGTTGTCACTTGTGAGAAAATCAGGTGCGAAGACCAGAGGGAGGAGGGTTAATGTATGAATATAATTTACAATGGATATCCATTTCTGGTTGGGTTATTCATAGGGTAATCAACATACAAAATGTGCATGCAACAACGTGCATATTGCATGCACGTTATGTATGTACACCATGCTTGCACATCCAGCCGTTTTGGTGGGTGCAAGAAATCGCAATACTTGTTATTAGCTGCTCACAGTTAATCACCATGGACGTGTCGAGGATAACCCACCCATCTTCACACAGCCGCACCACACAAACAACATGCATACCATCCACACTCGATATCACACACACCACACACATCAATCATGCACACGGGGGATGCACCAGAGAAGGGTTGGAGGTCAGGGGTCAGGGGCCACTCACGTCATGCACACACAGCACGCTCGGGCAGGGAATAGACATTGGGGGTGTGAGCACTGACATGCAAGACACGCAATCCGATGGGTGAGTGGATGACACGGATCGGATTGGTGCAGAGAGCAAATCGTGGAAGAGCGGGAAATTTGAAAAAGTTGATTGTTGGAGGGCGGAGAGGTTTAAAAGGGACTGGAAAACGAATGAACAGGGTGGGTTTGGCGATGAGCGTTGCTGCGGTGTACGAGCAGTGACAACGGAATTGAGAAGTTGAAGTACACCAGCCCAAGTCTCCTTTTTAAATCTTTTATATTAAGTTCACTTGCTTGCTTGCGCGCTTACGACCGTGCAAATCTTTCGGTCGTTGTTTAACCCACTTCCCGTGATCCAATCGAGCTGACATTTTGCACACAGGCTCGTTGTGCGTGACAATTTATTTTCGTGAAAAATTTTTCAAACATTTTCCACTTTTTAGGAAAAAAAACAATTCATATTTAAATTAAAATACCAATGTGATAAAAATGAAACTCTTACTCAAGAAAAACAGAAATGAATAATAAAATAAAACCAATGCCACGCATATAAAGGATTTATAGTGAAAAACTTTGTTTTTACGGGTTAATTTTTTAGGCGTATGGTGACCTGCATAGGCATGCGGTTAAACAGTGTATTACTTGATAATATTCTTCCAAGCAGCACTGAGCCTGTATCTTTCAGAAAGGTTAATAATAGATTATCTAATTAGTCTTGCCGAGTAGTAACTAGTTTTGCACAAAACTTCAACATTATCAAAATAAATTGAGAGTCCTTGTTGGCACACGTATTCTGCCACTACCGACATTTGTGTTTGGGAGTAATTAATATTTGGATTTTTTTTTATCATTGTGGTGTTTCTGAATATAGTGTATAAATTGTACTTTACTCGGCTGAGCCCAGGAAAAATATAGCACGGTGACCCCTTATTTACCTCTCCTCACCCATTATGTGGTGAATGGGCACCACGGTGGCGAGATGTTAACTGCCTCGCCTGCTATACATGAGGTCGTGGAATCGATGTCTGTATATTTTGAGTTTGCATGTTTTCCCCATGGTCGTGTAGATTTTACTCCGGGTCCTCTGGTTTTTCCCTCCACATTTAGAAACATGTGCCTAGAGTATTTGGCTGATACATTTCCACTTGATAAGCCACTTCATTGAGCTATCATTTATGGCCAGGTCACTTCTGAAAAAGAGTGATATAGCTCAGTGGGCCTAACCTGGTAAAATTTAAAAGTTTAGCTTAACATAGTTTATAGAATGAGTCTGGGCTCTCCCGTACAGCACTCACATCATCATGTGAGTGGGTGCTGCAAGCCACAACCCAAATTTCCAACTTGTAAAACAAGGCAAGCCATTATTTGTTTGATCCATCAATACTGAGCCAATAAAACGATTTCATCATTACAGTGAGGTGAATACAGGCTTTACCGGGTCTTTGTTTTGTTTGTACAATTAATATTTTTTTTACATTTGTGCGTTATACTTTTGACAATATATTTGGGCACCACCAGCCGATATTTTAATGACACATTTCGACTGCAGTGAGGGGATTGTAGTCTTCATCTGTCCAAAATATCCCAGTCAGAATGGGTTTAACGCTGAAAGAAAAGGTGTGTAAACAACCAAGATATTATTCCAGCAGTTTTATAAAAAAAAACAATATATAGCAGATAGCTATGCAAATCAGCATCGAGGGTTTATGGATGATGGTGTAGTCCTAGATGTGTATTCAGTTGCTGTAGGATGGAAATCATGGACATTAATGGGCAGTATTGTTACAAAATTGAAGCTGTTGTGGTTATCTGGATCACTGCAGATTGTTTTCCCAAAGTGTGTGCATGGTAGCCAGGTAGTGATGAGGAATCTCACATGTATATTTAGTTAATCGGTCATTGTCTGTCTTCAAATACGTTATTCCATACACCCTCAGCAATGTCTATTGGTTGTGTGCTCTAGTATAACCATTCTTGAGTTGTTAAAATTGTGCCGTGTATCCCAGGTTCTTTAGCCAATTGAGCACTCAGGGACAAATACAGTGCCACGTTTGTATCCCGCAGGCCAAGACAGAAACTGCCATTCTGTCTCACCGACGTATTCCGGCCAAACGATGCCCTTGCGTCCAGTGTTCTATGTCTTCCTCCGCTGGGATTGTTCCCTGAAGATGTCACTTGACTGTCGCTTATGTTTGACATAATTAACATATCGTATATTTTTGTATGTTTCCATAGTCGTGCAATGATCAGCCAAAATGTATTTTGATGTTTCCTTAGCCTTAACTTTACTATTCATGTTGTTTTTAAGTGTGTTGTACAATCCAGTTTCTGTTGCTGGAAATATATATTCTTCAGCATTAATTATGTATGCACACTACTTTTGACTCATCAAGTAACGCCGTTTTTTTACTATAATTTGTATTTCTTTGTTTTTTTGTCGATTTATTTTTGCTTCATTGTTGTTCTTAGTTTTTATGCTATAGCTTTGTAATTCTGTCAACGCATGTCACCCTTGAAAATTAAACTCATCCTTGTCTCTTGAGTATTCACCGGTATGAAAAAATAATGGGTTTTACCCTTTATTGCAATAAAACAGGCGTTAAGATGTACAAACACCAAATATAAACCTTAAGCGAGGAATCATGTTGCATTAACCACGTACTTGTGGTGAACATGCAAACAAAACATGCTCCGATGATATATGCATTGTCTTTGGAAGTGATCGGCCTACACCAGACATCCTTCTTGATGGCCTTGTCTCACCAGTGTCAAACCAGAGATTGCCAAAGGCAATGCACGTATCAGAGCATTTATTTCTCGGGGTGAGCAGCTATATCATGTTTGAATATCTTAACACCTGTTTTATTGCCAGAAAGAATAAAACCTATTCTTATGTTTTAAAAAATGTGTATTCGTAATCAATAAAAACTGGTATTCTTAGTTATTTAATAAGACAATATTTTGTCACTGCTCACCCTATAAGTGCTCTGATAGTGCATTGTCTTTGTACTGGTCGCCTTCAGAGCATGTTTTTTTTGTTGCAAGTTCGCCACAAGTACGTGTGGTTAATGTAGCCATGATTCCTTCCAAAATGTTTCTATTTGGTGTTTGGACATCTTAACACCTGTTTTATTTCTAGAACGGGTCGAAACCTATTCTTATTTTTTAATACAATAACACTGGCAAAAAAGGTCCCATGTTGTAGTTTTCAACGGGTTGAACAAAATAAACCCAAAACTTGTCACCAGACTCCAGCAGCGCGGCGGTTTCTCTGCGTCAGCGCCGCAAGGCCGCGGGGTCAGTGCGGCCCACGCAGCTGCGGCAGTGCAGCCGGCCCGGCGCGTGCTGACCGGACAAACCAAGCCATCTGAGTCGGCCACCTGAGCGCTAGAACACAGCTACAGCGCTGAGCGCTTGAACAGTGAGCGCTAGAACTCAGTTACAGCACTGAGCTTGAACAGTGAGCCCTAGAACACAGCTACAGCACTGGGAGCTTGAAGAGTGAGCGCTAGAACAAAGCTACAGCGCTGAGCTAGCACAGCGGCAGCGCTAGAAGGATTGTAGCGCACACGATAACGCTGGAGAACTGTTTAAGAGACGCCACCGTCGAGTGGCGGAACGCCGTGAGGACGTTCTGAGATCGCTAAGAAGCTGTGCACCGCGCTAAACCCGCCACGACGCCACGCTATATACCTGCGAGGTCTCCTGCGAGGCCGCGTGGAGGCCGCGCAACCAGTCGAGTTTGCCGGGGGCAGCGCAGGGACCGCGGCGATTTACAGCGCACGCCGATTACCGTCGCGCGCAGTTCGCCGCCATCTGAACTCAGTCGCTACCGACGCCGCGGTCTCTAAAGAGAACGGATCCCGTAGGGCGGTGTAGGGCGACCTCCTTTCGGCCAGTGGCCCTTCTCCGCTACTATTGCACAAAACATCGTCTGCTATACATATTGTATCTTTTTAAGGCCAAGGTAGAGCGCTGACATCGCTAGGGATGGGGTTATTGCGATGGCAACAATACATTAGGTCAAAAATAAAAAAAGTCTCTCGGGAACGAGCGAATGCTATTTAAGGACAAGGTGTTTATTTTCCAAATGTAGGCAGTATTTTTTCATGAAAGGTCAGTTGCTCGTATTTCTCTAAACCTAAACGCTGACCGTGCGACCAAATCTCGGGCTGCGAGTCAAAACACAGCGTCAATCGTGATCAGGCTGGGGGTTGCGAAACAGCGACACGCGGTGAAGCTTCGTGTTCAGCTGCTCAATAACGTTCGCATTTCAACTGCTTGGACATCACGATAACTCATGTTGACACCGCAATATTTTTCTGACCGGTGTTGGTGAATTGTCGGAAGAAAATAAAAAAAAATTGCGGATAAAGTGCTTTTTGTATACCGTGTACCGCCAATACGTTCAAATGTAGTATAAGGTTAATCTATCTTGATTGGAAGCTTTCGTGACTGCAGGAATCCATACTCTTTGGTTCTTTCGGTAAAGTCACGTAGGTAGAAAAATACAATTGTTTTTGGTTTTATTTTTCTACCTACGTGACTTTACCGAAAGAACCAAAGAGAATAGGTTAATCTAATCTTCCATTCCCCCCACCTATATAGATCATTGAAGGTAGACTTTCCAGGAATCGTAACTTCTCTCATGGTTGATGTAGAAAGGGGAGACGGTGTAATTTATACTTGAACAGATCTGTGTTTTTCATGCGGAAAAGACTGAGACAAATTGAGGGCAAATGTTTACATTCTTCTTCCTTGATCTTTGCTCAGATGATGTGACCTCGGATTTTCTTCAAAATGTCACATATCTAGCACACATACTTGGCAATGATGCCTGCAAGTTTGAAAGCGTGCACTCTAATACATGACCATATCTTTAGCACAGCTTCAGGCTATTCATTCAGCTTCTGGACACACCATGACTCAAGGTGTTATCGGCCAAATAATGAGGTGTTTACATGTTTCAAGTTTCATTTATTAGGTATAGCCCTGTGAGCCATGCGGCTCTTGAGTCAGGTGCAACCGCAACAAACAATAAGAACAGAGAACAACTTAAAGCGACGACGCCCAACATAAACATCCTGGATAAACCAGCAAATCTTCCAGACACCGTATTACAACGCTGTGTGCAAAAATCCCAGTGTGATGCAAGTCAAACAATAACCATAAGACAATTTAGATTTAAGTTATCAGGCCATCTCCGCACTTCCGCAAGAAACATGGCTTAACCATATGTTTTCGAAATCACCAAAATAAAGCTATGAAAACAATGTAAAAACAGTAATCATAGGAACTGTGATTCAAATTTAACAATAAACGATATACATAGCACGTACGACCAAACTTGCAGCCATAGCTGGCAGCATGACACTCCCAGTGTATGTGTAAGTGAGTCAGTGGTAGTGTGAGTTAGTGTATGATGAGTGAATCAGTGTATGATGAGTGAATGGGTCAGTGGTTGTGTGAGTGAGTGTAAGATGAGTGAGTGTATCACGGCCTCAGCCATGCCATCACAGCCTCCTCCCCGCCATCACGGCCTCCTCCACACCATCACGGCCTCCTCCCCGCCATCACGGCCTCAGCCATGCCATCACGGCCTCCTCCACGCCATCACAACCTCCTCCCCGCCATCATAACCTCCTCCCCGCCATCACGGCCTTCTCCACGCCATCACAGCCTCCTCCACGCCATCACGGCCTCCTCCCCGCCATCACGACCTCCTCCACGCCATCACAGCCTCCTCCCCGCCATCACGGCCTCCTCCCCGCCATCACGGCCTCCTCCCCGCCATCACGGCCTCCTCCCCGCCATCACGGCCTTCTCCACGCCATCACGGCCTCCTCCCCGCCATCACGGCCTCCTCCCCGCCATCATGGCCTCAACCATGCCATCACGGCCTCCTCCACGCCATCACAGCCTCCTCCCCGCCATCATAACCTCTACGCCATCACGGCCTCCTCCACGCCATCACGGCCTCCTCCACGCCATCATGGCCTCCTCCACGCCATCACGGCCTCCTCCCCGCCATCATGGCCTCAACCATGCCATCACGGCCTCCTCCACGCCATCACGGCCTCCTCCACGCCATCATGGCCTCCTCCACGCCATCACGGCCTCCTCCACGCCATCATGGCCTCCTCCACGCCATCATGGCCTCCACGCCATCACGGCCTCCTCCACGCCATCACGGCCTCCTCCACGCCATCACGGCCTCCTCCACGCCATCACGGCCTCCTCCACGCCATCACGACCTCCTCCACACCATCACGGCCTCCTCCACACCATCACGGCCTCCTCCACGCCATCACGGCCTCCTCCACGCCATCACGGCCTCCTCCACGCCATCACGACCTCCTCCACACCATCACGGCCTCCTCCACGCCATCACGGCCTCCTCCACGCCATCACGGCCTTCTCCCCACCATCATGGCCTCCTCCACGCCATCACGGCCTCCTCCACGCCATCACGGCCTCCTCCACGCCATCATGGCCTCCTCCACGCCATCATGGCCTCCACGCCATCACGGCCTCCTCCACGCCATCACGGCCTTCTCCCCACCATCATGGCCTCCTCCACGCCATCACGGCCTCCTCCACGCCATCACGGCCTCCTCCACGCCATCACGGCCTCCTCCACGCCATCACGACCTCCTCCACACCATCACGGCCTCCTCCACACCATCACGGCCTCCTCCACGCCATCACGGCCTCCTCCACGCCATCACGGCCTCCTCCACGCCATCACGACCTCCTCCACGCCATCACGACCTCCTCCACGCCATCACGGCCTCCTCCACGCCATCACGGCCTTCTCCCCACCATCATGGCCTCCTCCACGCCATCACGGCCTCCTCCACGCCATCACGGCCTCCTCCACGCCATCACGACCTCCTCCACGCCATCACGGCCTCCTCCACGCCATCACGGCCTCCTCCACGCCATCACGGCCTCCTCCACGCCATCACGGCCTCCTCCACGCCATCACGACCTCCTCCACGCCATCACGGCCTCCTCCACGCCATCACGGCCTCCTCCACGCCATCACGGCCTCCTCCACGCCATCACGGCCTCCTCCACGCCATCACGACCTCCTCCACACCATCACGACCTCCTCCACGCCATCACGGCCTCCTCCACGCCATCACGGCCTTCTCCCCACCATCATGGCCTCCTCCACGCCATCACGGCCTCCTCCACGCCATCACGGCCTCCTCCACGCCATCACGACCTCCTCCACGCCATCACGGCCTCCTCCACACCATCACGGCCTCCTCCACGCCATCACGACCTCCTCCACACCATCACGGCCTCCTCCACGCCATCACGGCCTCCTCCACGCCATCACGGCCTCCTCCACACCATCACGGCCTCCTCCACGCCATCACGGGCCTCCTCCCCACCATCACGGCCTCCTCCACGCCATCACGGCCTCCTCCACGCCATCACGGGCCTCCTCCACGCCATCACGGCCTCCTCCACACCATCACGGCCTCCTCCACGCCATCACGGCCTCCTCCACACCATCACGGCCTCCTCCACACCATCACGGCCTCCTCCACGCCATCACGGCCTCCTCCACACCATCACGGCCTCCTCCACGCCATCACGGCCTCCTCCACACCATCACGGCCTCCTCCACACCATCACGGCCTCCTCCACGCCATCACGGCCTCCTCCACACCATCACGGCCTCCTCCACGCCATCACGGCCTCCTCCACACCATCACGGCCTCCTCCACGCCATCACGGGCTTCCTCCCCACCATCACGGCCTCCTCCACGCCATCACGGCCTCCTCCACGCCATCACGGGCCTCCTCCCCACCATCACGGCCTCCTCCACGCCATCACGGCCTCCTCCACGCCATCACGGGCCTCCTCCATGCCATCACGGCCTCCTCCACGCCATAACGGCCTACATGACGTGCGGACAGGTTTGTTCGTATCTCTGAAAGTTCGTAAATAGAAGCTTCGTAAGTAGATGAGTCCCTGTATATATACATACCGTTAAGAAAGATATGCGGGGTATGGGTAGAATCACGTCGCCAGAAGAGACGACGTCCCAGAGGTGCGCTTCAATTGCCGCGCATCATGGCGCCGGAGCGGCCGCTGTGCTGCCCTTTTCTCCCTTAGCGTAAGGGCAACAAATCGTAACACTGGCAAACAGTTAAGATTTTCAATGACTTTTTCAATGCTCACACTTTTATTTGCACTCAAAAAGGAGAACATGTATTAATTGAAACCCCCAGAATGATTGAAATTTGATGTGCTCAATAAAGGTTGGGTGGCTTCCAGGCGAGGTTGATTGGACAACAGGAAGTTGACTCAATTTTGATTACAAGATTTGACCACGACACAGGAGTCAAGTTAATTAAAACTGTTGAAAAAAGACGATTGCTTGTGTTGTGATCGAAACGTCGTAGTCTTTTGTTACTTTCTTTGAACCTATCTACGTGACTTTACCGAAAGACCCAAAGAAAATAAGTTCAACATACATAGTGTTGTGTATAGTGTAACGTATAGTGTATATAGTGTAGTGTATAGTGTAATGTATAGTGTAGTGTATAGTGTATATAGTGTAATGTATAGTGTATATAGCATAGTGTAGTGTATAGTGTATATAGTGTAGTGTAGAGTGTAGCGTACAGTTTATATAGTGTAGTGTAGTGTATATATCTTCTTCATGGTTCTTTCGGTAAAGTCAAGTAGAAGGGAAGTAATAAAATAATAAAAATAAAACATAATAAAATAAAATAATTCTCACGACGTTTCGGCTACAACGCAAGCAGCCGTCTTCAGGTGAAGAATGAGACACTACCAAGCTAGGAGCT